ATGACTTTTACGCGAAAAATTACAAGATAAATTTATAGCTTTGTAAAAAATTTACAAAAACTTTTTTCAGTGTCCAATTCGGGACAAAAACGAACTTAAATTCCTACCGTTTTTTCCCGAAAACCATTAAGGTTTTCTCCAAAACCGATCACAGAACTAAAAGTTTTTAAAAAATGACAACATTAATTTTGCTAGAAAATTCGCCCCATTTATAGGTTTGCAGGGAACTTTAGAAAACCCTTTTCAGCTTTGAATTTGGCACAAAATCCAAATAATTTTATTCAGTAAAGTAATTGAGATTTTCGTGAAAAACGACCACAGCAAAGTTTACAAAAAGTTATTAGGAAAATTCGCCGCCCTCATCGCTCTGAGGATTTCTAAAGTTCCTTTAAATTTTCGGGTCATTCCAGTTTTAGCAAAACTTCTATTAAGGAATTCTTTCTACGAAAAAATCGCATTATTTTTTAGTTTTACTTAAAATACTGGCAACCTTCAGGTATTTTCTGTGAACAAATATAAGATACATTTTTTTGGAACACTCGCCCCCTTAACCGCTTTGCAAAAATGTTTGGAAAACTTTTTAAATGTTTGGAAAATATTTTTAGGTCTTTTTCTAAAAATATTTCCCCGGACTCAAAAAGCGAGTGTATAATCATTTATTTTGAAAACTCTTGGAAACTGGGGTTTCTTCACTTTTAGGTCAATATTTCTACACAGAAAAACCGCGTTTTTCCTAACGTTTTACCGTAAAATAAGGCAAACTGAATCTTTTATGCAAAAACATGAAGAGATCGATTTTACAAGAAAACTGCTCGACTTTCTTTGGACTCAGTTCTGTTGCTGGGAAAATCTAGATTACTTTTTTAGTTGTTTGAACAAAGTAGTAAAACGTTACTCAGGAAAAATGTTAATAAACATTTTTTAGATGTGAAATGCCAGTCTCGGGTAAAGCTTTAACAAATGAATTATAACTCATTAACCGAAGAGTTATAACTCGTTAACTCAACAACTCAATAGCGCAACTGAACACAGTGTTACCCATGCCTAGTAAGCGAGGAAAACACGAAATATCATTATTTTCTGCCAAAAGAGCTTCACTTTATCGTTTTTAATTCGAATTGTTTCGTTTCAAGAAATGTCTCGCATTTCATCATCTATTGATTCTGTTGATCTCAATCGCTTGTATCTTCCTCACAGACGGGATTTCCAAGATAATGCGAGATATTTTTGAAACTTTAAAACTAAAACTAAATTTATAGGTCGATTATTCCCTTCATTATTGCAAGGAGTTACATTAGCACAGGTTCAAAAGGTTTCGGCTTTTCTCACTAAACCCCCTAAAATCGAGTTGCTTTTGCGAATGCATGAAAACTAGCGCTCTTCGTAAGGCATTAGTGTTACGCTACTGAGTCCCACATCGCATAAAATTGTGCGAATAATACATGCGAAAGAAAACTGTCCCGTGTCCTGAGTTTCATCGAATAGCTGTCAGGGACATGTATTTGCCGAATCGATTCGCATCATAATAGAAGAATGAAAAATGAGCCTACAAATCTAAACCACTTTTAAGCATTCGATTTATTAGATATCGATCATTCGGAAAGTTCCGGAAATTATGCCTGTTCACAGGAAAATTTATGATCGAAATGTTCACTAACTGGGAATCGGCCCTATTAATGGTTGATAACATCAGCTTTTCCGCGAATTGAACTAACGTTGCATACAACCATCAGGTGAGTCTTCAAGTCTTCTCGAAGATGGATAATAACTCATTTTTAAGTTGTAGATAAGTTCTATATTGTTGAGGCGGATTCATTTTTT